TGAAAATCTATGCAGTTAGCATATTACAAAATCAAAGGATGCGTAAATCTATAAGCACTTAACTCGCTTCTGGTAGCATATTTTTTTTTTTTACAATTGGTTGCACAGGGTAAACATTTTCTGTCGTATGAAACATACTTAAATACTTACTTTTGATTATTATATAATTTACATTTCATATGTATAGTTTTAACAAAAACTTTTCATTGAACTCCGTGTCAAAAATGGCCGAGTAAAAAAAAAAAAACAGATCACTATAAAGGTGTGATATCATAAATAAATGCTAAGTAAATTTAATTTTATTCAAATACACTGTTTAGTTTCAAATTTTAATGACTTATTTACTTGGTGAGAAATTATTTTGAGTAGAAATGTCCATTGTGATATTTTAAAGTTTAATGAATTTCTCATTCCTTTTGTTTATATTGTTCACGTATTTCATGTTCGGTGCCATTTAAAGTACTTAAATAAGTGTACTTTAATTACCTAACTTAACTAAACATTTATTTATGGCATTATAAAATTATAGTTTAAAAAATAATAAAAACTATTAGGTAATATAATATTATTATTATGTGAAACAATCTAAGCAAACTTCTATTAAGTGATCTCTAACCTATAGAATTGGTGCACACATAAGTTATTTTTTGTCTTTCTCTCTTTCACAAAAAGCATATCCGGTTCGAATTCTTTAACTTTTGACAGAGCAGTTTTCTTTTAACCTATAATTATACGAAAACATTTTGAAAAAAATATTGAATATATAAATTATTTTATTACCGTTACATAATATTTAGAAGTCTTATTTTTAGTTGTTTGGGCAAATTGCTAATAATTGTCATTATGTACTTTAGATGATCCTCCATAAGCTTCTTACCTAATGTTATCAATAATTTCAAGCGTTTTTTCTTGATACACAATTATTGAATTTAGTCCTCTGATATTGAGTAGAGAATAAAATACTGTAAGAGGTTAACAAGCACTATGTATTATCACACTGTTGTTTTTAGTCAACTAATCTAACTCATTAAAAATATTACTAATAGAACTCACGCTAGACATTGACAGTCTTGTATTCGTATTCTAATTACGAGGTTCAAATGTTGGTGTTATCATCATTATCATCACTTGAAATCCCGCCTTATAAATTATCTTCTTCAATGCTTTGTAATAGACACGTGATCCACCGTCATTCAATTTTGTCAATGGTTTTTTTTTCTTTATAATGAGAATCAAGAGAAAATTAAATTGAAAAAAATGTAAAATGAGAAATTACTTTTCGGTCGCACGGGGTAAATATTCTCCAAACGGATAAATTGTTCTTGACAGGCGTGTACCGAATAAATTTAAATGTTTTTGTGGAAGTAAATGTTATTATGGAATAATGATATGATTTTGATAAGCTTATTAGAGTTACAAATCTGTATTATATATAATTATGGAAAAACAAACAAGTATTAATACATTTGGAGATAATTAATACCCCTCGAGACCAGTGATGGGTTAATTTGTAACAGTGAAACTCGCCGTACAAATCAGCCAGTTATAAACTATTTGTGATAAGTTTTTATAACAATATGTTAAATTTACTGGATTATTAATTAAAATATTTATTTCTAATAGTAATTTAAATATACGCATTATAAAATATTAATAAATATAGTTAGAAGGTAGAAGACATTAATTGAACAGAAAGTTTTTCGCTTACATTGATTTATCATTCAATTCAAATAACACATTTCCCAATGAGTACACCATTGCCTGTTCAGTGGCGATATACATTCGACATCTTTACCTATCTGGACAGCAGGGCAAATTTCTTACATTTTTTTTTACATTACGCACCTACTTGGCATTAATAATTGTTTATATTTGTAATGTTTTACTTTTTGGATTATCCACTAACAATTAATTTATTAAATTACTGACATTTTTACTGATATTACCAAAAGTCATATAGGTAGAACAAAACATATTTTTATAACATGAACAATAAAACAACCATTTTCTATTAATATTATCATTGTTACTTGTTATTTTAAAATAAAACTAAAAAAGAAGTTTATCGTTCGAATCCAATGAGACTGGTTGAATTGAATAATTTTTTAAGAAAAACAATTTTACTTCTACTGAACTAATGCGATCTGGCATAGTAAAAAATGCAACATTACCAATAATAGAAGAAGAGCTAGATTCCAGGGTAGTAGATTCTTTATCTTCATAAAATGATGAACTTTGAGAACTCTCGATACATTACGGACCATCTCAATGAGAATCAATTTTTTTCACACATTTTAAAATTTAAATTATAAATAAATAAAAACAATGAAATTCCTTACAACAGCTTAAAATAATAAAAAATTTAACGCAAATTTCCATTCTAAAAAAATGTACATTAAAATATTATATTTATTTAAAGTTGTATTATTATCATTATTCATTATATTATATTACTAATAAAGTTTTAAATTAAAATTAATATATTAGTGGCATACATTTATATTTTAACTAAACTTAAAAATGTGTTATCTTTTGTTAGATTTGATAAAACAAAACTAAAATAACTACAATAACACACGAATGTCGGCACAGTGACTTGGTCGCATAATAGCATATTATTATATTATATTATATTAATTATAATATTTGTCATGATATTTATGTTGAGATCTTACAATCATACACCCACCCGGACTTGAATATTAACCCTTCTATTTCAAACATGAAGCAATTTCTTCAAATAATCTTACATCCCACTGCCACGTATATATACATTTTATTGTATGGCCGCAATTCGTACAAATCTCTTATAAACTTGGGCCGCAACTCGTATGTTATTTTGGAACTGGGTCGAAACTCACCAATACCGATTCAAATTCAAATAATACATTTCCCAATGAATACACCATTATATATACCTATCTAGACAGCAAGACGAATTTTTTACATTTTATTTTAGGTACATTACAAACCTACTTGGCACTTATAACTGTTCACATATCTCATTTTTTACTGTCATCGTACGTTAAAATAAAATAGTAACTTTATTCTTTGTAGATTATTAACTTTCAAAATTAATCATACATTATACTTTATAGGTATGTAATAATAACTATAAGTAAACGATTTCTTAAAATTTAAACGATTTAAAATATTAATAAATCTTTTAGATTATGTTACAGAATAATTTGGGTTCTGAAGATTTATCTATGAATAATTCAACAGATGAATAAAATTAATACTTTATAGTTACTTTAATAATTAATTAATCACTATATACTATGTTGCAATCTTAAATTTCATTTAACTATAACATTTTATATTCAATTAAATTTTCCATAATATATAATATAATTATTTGTTATTTTTTTATGAAATTGTAGAAAAAAAAATAATATTTTATTCTTATAATAATTAATTTAAAGTAATATGTAATACAAGTAAACCCTCAATTATTGTAAATGTTAATATAATTAAAAAATTTATTATCAATATTCAATGGTTAATTTATTTATATTAACTTCATAGTTACTCTTTCACTTGATATGTTGAAACTATATTTAATAGTTTATAGAGAAACAGCTTTGCATTATTTCATGATCTATACAAATAATTATTTGTGTTTATCGACTGTCAGTTTGGAAGGACGAAGCTTGTAGTGAGTAGCTCCGTTTAAGTTCATAAGGGAATGAAATAATTTGTTTATTGATGAGTTTATGTTTTCATTTATTGTGTGGATTTTCAAGTCTTTATGCAGTACTCTGCTAGCTTAACTAAATCGTAAACATTAATCTATAATACATCGATTGGCATATTTGTCCCACTAGGTAAAATCAGTTTAATATTTTTAAATTACTCTAACAAATCTCTCGTACTTATTAGACTCGGGTGTATTTGTTCGGACCTGACACTTTGTATTATCTCGACCAAATTGTTTACTCTCATAATTTGTATCAACATTACTTGGTTAATGACTGTAAATGTTTATTAGTTTTGATTCGCGGAGAAATATTGTTAGTTAGGTTCGTTAGTTAAGTTTACGACACTACCATACGCCTCTGGCAGGAGTGATGGGTCGCCAGTGACAAAGGCAGGCGGACGGCGATTTGGTTCCCGGATGTCCGGCGCAGACTGGAGAGGCCGTGGTTCATTCCGGATCACTACATCTCGCAGTTAGTTACTTCAATTCTTCGCTCTATCGTTTCAACCTTCGAGGCGAGGCACGTTGCCGATGCGGTCTTCCAGAGGAAACCGCGGAGCATGTGCTATTCGACTGCCCAGCATATAGTCAGGAAAGAAGCAAGCTCGCAGCCACAGCGCAAGCGAAAGGTGTGGACTGGCCGTGCGACTGCGATACCATGACTTCCACGGAGGCCATGTTCCTTGCGTTCAAAAACTTCTCCCGGGAAGTCCTAGAACGTAAAGATGTAGGGCGATCCCGCGGGCACGACCCGGACCCCTGATTTTAAAACCGAAACGGGCGTGTGGCTAGAGGGCGTATGTGCAGGACACGGCGCACTGCCAGAGACATAGGGACAGTCTCCCCTATCCACGCGGGCACAAATCGTCCGAGTGGGTCTAGCCGAAACGACCGTCACTGTCATCGATGGCGGCGGGGTGAAAGCCTGCGAAGTACCGGATAGTGGCAGGCGAAGCGGGACCCGATAGCCGGATCAAGGGTCCTAAGACGGCGCCCCCACAGGACCGTCGAACGCCCTCCGTACTAAGACCCACCTAGCCGGGAGTGAGGGACGGGATACATCGTGAGACGAACTGGGTGCTCGCCTTTTCGCGGAGGCGGGACGGGACATCTCGTGGGGCGAATTATATATGTATTATATATGAATTATAAATGAATGATAAGACTGTTGGTCGTCGGAAAAAAATGTTTGAGTCGTGCACAGAAAGAATAAAAAAATAACAAAAAATTTCAAATCACGGTTAGGTACTGACTGATCGGTCCATCAAGAATTGATCGCTCTCGAAGTCCTATCAAAAATATGAAGACACATATATTATCGGATGCTGAGCTACTTGATATTTTGGAAAATGATAAATGGATATCGTCTGACGAAGAATTTGATGATGATTTTGATGAATGTAGTTATGGTTCTGACGGCGATGATGTAGAAAATGAAGGTGACGATTTACAAAATATTGTTATTAGTGATTTTGTGGGTTCTGGAGAGAATGAAGTCGGTGAGGTTTTATCTGAAATTTATAGTTCTACAAATTTTAACTGGTCGACTGATTCACCTCATGTAAACCATTTTGAATTTACAGCTACACCTGGGCTTAAATGTTTACCAAATGGAGACAAGCTTATTGATTATTTTAATTTATTAGTAACTGATGAATTATTAGACATGCTTGTAGAGGAAACTAATATTTATGCCATCGAAATTTTTTTAAATTCTGTCTCTGACAAAGCTAGAATCAGTGGATGGGTAAATACAAATAGGTCGGAAATGAAAACATTTTTAAGTTTGTTATTTCATATGGGAACTATTAAATTGCCTAGATTAGAGGATTATTGGAAAACAAATAAATTATTTAATTTACCATTTTTTCGTACATATATGAGTAGAAATCGATTTACTCTATTACTTCGAGCATTACATTTTTCCCGCAACCCAGCTGAAGGGGAATCTGTTCCTCGTAACAGATTACATAAAATTCAACCTATTGTAAATTATTTTAATACAAGGATGAACGAAATATTTGAGCCCACTAAAAATCTGTCACTTGATGAGTCCATGGTTTTATGGCGTGGACGGTTAATATTTCGACAGTATATTAAAAACAAAAAGCATAAGTTTGGAATTAAAATGTACATGCTTACAGAATCGTGGGGATTTATACACAGAATGTTGATTTATTCCGGACAAGGGCATGATGTTTCCGAGACAATGACTCATACAGAATTTGTTGTCGAAAATCTTATGAGTGGATTACATCACAAAGGTCGTTCATTATACATGGACAACTTTTACAACAGTGTTCAACTTTCTCGAAAACTGTTACAAAAAAAAAACTTATGTTACTGGAACTTTACGCTCTAACCGTAAGCATAATCCGAATGAAGTAATTGCTCAAAAACTAAAAAAAGGAGAGTCCATATGCAGATACACAGAGGATAACATTTGTGTTATGAAGTGGAAGGATAAAAGAGAAGTGTTGACAATAAGTACTGAATTTCCCCATTCAATGATGGACATTGAAAAAAATAGAAACATATTAAAAAAACCAATTTCAGTTCTTAAGTATAACGAACATATGTCTGGAATAGATCGCCAAGATCAGATGACTTCCTATTATCCATTTGAAAGGAAGACTTTAAGATGGTACAAAAAAGTCGGTATACATTGTATACATTTGCTGTTAGTAAATTCTTATTTTTTATATAATAAGTATGCAAAAAAAACATCGTTGTATGAATTTAGACTATCAGTGATTGAATCGTTATTACCTAATGATCAAACTGTTTTCGATACTAATACTCGAATTATGAAAAAAAAAAATTAAACACATTTTCCCAAAAAAGTGAAAAAAAATGTTAAAAAAAAATACAAATACAAACGTTGTCAAATTTGTTCTGGAAAAGGCATTCGTAGAGATACAATATATTATTGTATGGAATGCAAAGAAAAACCAGGTTTGTGTCTTGAAAGTTGCTTCGAAGAATACCATAAAAAAATATAACTATTAATTATTATTACAATTTATAATGTATTTATCTATTTTTTATTTTATTTTATTAATTTTTTATTTCTGTTCTGAAGATTTGTTATTTATATTATTTTATTGTTTTTTGATTTACAAAAGTTCCAAAGTTATTTTCTATTCTGAAGATTTGTAATTTATATTATGTTATTATTATTTTTATTTACGAGACTTACAAAGTTATTTTTGTTTATTTTATAAAAATATTATATATGTTTAATAAGGAATCATAAAAAAGTATTATTTTATAAAACAGTAAATATTAATTCAAATATTTATTAACATATTTTAAATCTATCATTATACTATATACAATTAAAAAAAAAAATGTTCTTAAAATAGAAACTAAATATACGACGATCCG